TTAATGAAAGGTTTTCTTGAAACAAGATAAGGAGTTATGCTTGATAAGTAATATTTTTTTGTAATCCTTTTAAGAACTACCAGACCTTTTTGTCCTTGTCCCATCTATTTTTGCTGTTAATACACTTGATTAGTTTCTTGACATCATTAGCATATTGTTTTACTGTTTCACTTACTTCTGTATCTTCATCGATAGTTTGAATCTCTATTGGTTTATTAATGCAGTGGTCTTAAAAGTGATTAAAAATAAGAATTCGAATGATATATGATTTCTGTCATTCCAATATGTAATAGGGTTTTGTTCCTCTTGTACTTCGCTGAACTAAAGTCCTGCTACATCTTGTAAATATTTAGCAACTACTTGAAGTTTGTACTCACTAGTGTTTTGATTTATTCTAGTGAATTTGTTGAATTTTTCTAACCACTTCATTGGGTCTCAGTTTCCTTTGCCAAATGACAGCATTTTTATATTATTCTTAATGTGGAAAGTATCTTGTAATTCTTTTATCAAGGTGTTGGTTCTGCTTTCACCAGTGCTGCATCTCATTCCTCTGGTTACTCTTCTATTCATCAAGGTAACTATTGTTTTATAAAAATTTGTGTAAAAGAAATTCTTGTACCTTGTTTTATTACACCAGTTTCAAGTATGCTAATGACTATTTTATACTTAGTATTTTTCAAAAATCTTACTTAGAACAAAATTTCTGTTACTTTTGAAAATATTTTGTATTATTTCATTTTCTTTTGGTGGGAATAGTCTTTTGAATTTTAAAAGGAAACATCACAAACAATATAAATAAGTATAAAATCTAACTGTATATGTTAAAATTCTTATAAATCTGTGAAATACTACTTCTACTAAAAGAGATACTTTATGCCAAATCTCACAGAAGACACCAAAATTCTGTGGCAGTCTGCTCAGAATAAGAAGTAAAGTTATATCAATAAGTCCCACTAAATTGAACTCTTGTCACACCCCTTTTTATACTAACTCAACATACTCTTGTACACAATATTTCTTAGCATCCACTATCAGCCAGTATGATCAAACAGTTACTTGCCTACTCACAATGAATAGATATATAAAATAAACTCTAACACAATACACACAGGTGCAATCTGAAAGTATGTGAGTAAGTGAAGTAAAAATATGTTTTTAAAGCTTACTATACAAACTTCTGAATCTTAATTTTAGACTTTATTCAATAACTTTATTCAAGAAATTACAAAATTAGTAATAGAAGTATTATGGGCTGTTAGCCATTTCTTATCAATATTAACTTTGTCATGAAATAAAATATTTTAAAAATGTATCAAATTATTACAGAGTATGTCAAAATTATTAAACTTATTACAAAGATGTAATAACAAAAATATATCACTGCTTTGATATGTCTTATCCCTGTTACCAAATAATTATAATACGTCTCTATCTTTATTATTAAATTTTTATTATAAAAATATGTACCAAAAGATTATTATTATAATATTACAAATTAGGTAAAAGATCTTTGTAATTATTCAAAATGTACCAAAAGAAATCAAAATTTATATACATTTTCTAACTTGTTTCCCTTCATCCCTTTGTTGTCCCATCTAAATACATCTTTTCTATTTTTAAAGATAATATACACAAGGATGAAGGATAATGTACAAGAATGAAATACTTTATACAAAGATGAATAATCTGTCATCTAGAAGGTAATACACTTATCCTGATAATACTGTCATCTTACTGTTATCTCACATGACATCTGCAACACTTCAAAATTCCATGTGCATTTTATATGGAATTTGTATACTCTCAGTATAATTATTGAATTCAATAAGAACAGTATTTGAAAAAAAAGGTGAGCTCTGACCTTCTTCAAATAAAATTTCTTTGATTATCCCTATTAAGCTATTGACTAATTCTGCCTCTATTCATAAGCATAATTCATATGCTTCTAGACAGTAGTACATTGACTTCAAGACTTTTTACTGTGTTATAATTTGTTTTAGATACTTCATAACTATCTATATACATGACATAAATTTTGGCAACAGGATAGTTTAAGGATCTGAATTAACATTAGCTTTTTGAGGTAGAATACATGTTGTTTCTAAAAATTGTTCATTACTATATTAAGTAAATTAGTGAATCTTGCAATAAGTATTCTTCAGTTATCCATGGTGAACTTATTACCATGTAGCTGTAACAAAATATTTCTAAAATGAAATTGATCTTCTAAATTTCTAGATTGTTACTGAATAATATCAATTTTATAGATCTCCTAAACTGTTTATATTAAATATTTTATTATTTGATAATGGATCACATTAAATTGTTTGTATATGCAGATTATTTTGAATAATTTCTCAAATCAGTTTCAAAGTTTGCATCATACAAACATAATAATATGCTCTATCTGCCAGTAAGTTATAATTAATACAATCAATTTAACTGGCTTATCTTGAAACAGATAATAAATATATAATAAATAATAATAATAATCAAATAATAATCAATTAATCATGAAGGCATAGTGAGTAAGGTGAAGTAAAAGCAATTAACACAGTATCAAACAATATTTAATAATATTTCGCAATATTACAACACAAGATATAAGTTATTAAAATATAAAATAAGTTTTTAAAAGTAAAGTATAATTCAGCAACAGAAATATTATCATATATTAGGATGTCTATTTTAACATCCCTGAAGTAAGTTTACTTTTCTATCTAATAATAATTAAAATATTTCAGTATATTCTATTATACTAAGTAATAATTAATCAACTAGCTGGTACAATCTGAATTACTGAAACTTACACCTGACAACAGTTGTATTTATACTTTCTTTTTTGTTTACACTTCATTCTTCATCTTTGTACTTCATCTTTCATCCTTTGTGCATTATCTTTCATCCTTCATCCTTCATCTTTATACTTTATCCTTCATTCTCAGTCACCTCATGTGAGATAACAATCACCTGATTGTTCATCTTGTGTTACAAATTATTATTCCCCATGATATTTCACCTGATTACCAATTTGTGTTGCCACAGTATTATCTATTACAAGTGGAAGTTGTTCAAAATTGTCAATTAGGATAACAGATCAACTACCAAAAAGTTAATCTTTCTGCTCAGGAAAAGTCTAACATAACCACATATTAATTAGGGTAAGTGTTCTATATCTGATCATATTTTTTTCATTAATGATAATACATTTAATACCATCTAATCTATTTTGTAGTTGCTTCAGTCATTTATCAGTTATATTGAAATTAGTACTGTTTACAGAGATTAAGAATGCTGAGTGAATGTTAATTCCTTGGTTGTTGATCTAATGACCTTAGTTAGTACAAGTAAAAGTATAGCATCTTAACATTACAATGTCTTGCCATTTCTTGTAGCTATTACCAAATTGCTTTAATTAAATATGATTTCCAGTTTCTGCAGTTCCCATAATAATAATTCTAAGAGGCTCAACATTGCTGTGATCTGTAATTACTGTATTGTAATGTTTCTTTATTTATTTGAGTACTAACATCTACTTCTCATTTAAAGTATTCAAATCTACTGTAGGAACTAAATTTTTGGCATCTATCATATTTTTGCCATGAACTTGTTATAGAAAGTTTGTTATATCTTCAAAGTTTAGAGTGAGTTAATATCACATTATATCATCAATTCAATTATGATTCTTATCAATTTCATAAACCCAAATCTGAATTTTTTTCAATAATTATATTTGAACCTATTTTTGATAATATCATTTACTCTAATCAGATTTTTGTCTTATAATTATCATTTTATTTTTCATCTTCCTCATCACTAAATTCTATTTTACCACAATTCATAAGAGAACTGAATAAATTATCAGGATCATTTTCAATCTCTACAATATGAGATTCAAAGAGTTCTGTCCAAGGAATTTTACCATCCATAGTTAATTATTCAAGGCTTTGATGGCAAACATGGAGTATAATCTTCAACTGACAGAATTCTTCCTATTGAGGATCATTTCACTGTGACCCCAGTTATATCCATATGCAAACAAAATTTTAATGATCAATCTGTCTCCAATCACTCCTTATAAATTTGTATTTTAGGTAAAATTGAAAAAGAGAAATATTTTCAAACTCTTTAGGTCAATTCCAATACTTCTGTAAAAATAATTGTACCATTTGTCTAATGTTACTAGAATGGTAAAGTGAAATATCAAAGAGTAAAAGACAAGTTTCTTGTGCAGACATATCATACTATGCAACAGTATGAAGTAGTATGAAGTAGCAACTTCTGAAATGATATGAGAGATGGATCATCTAATTTGTTATTAAAAAGAATACAGTTTAATATTTCAGAAAAGGTTTCTGATCGTAGCTCTGATTTGCTTGCATATTTCGTGATATACTGAAGAGCAGCATGGACACTAAGAACAGATTTTAAATTCACATTCATCTACCAACCCTGTAGTTGAAGTTGATCATGTGAGTTAATATAAGAATTATTCTTTGTGGTAATGAGTTCTGGGTGATCATAATTATTATCACATATATAGGTATGCTCTACAATCTCTTTTGGATATTCAAACCTACAAGAATGTTAACCTGCATGATTGGTTTGAAAACAATATGAAGGACTACATCTTGTATGACATTGTAATTTATTAATAAGCTCAATATAATTTTGCGAGTTGTTGTGCAACTTATTATTAAATTCTTTCTTTTTCTTTGAAAAAGTTTATTAGTATAATAACATATTTTTTTTATTTATTTCAAAGTTAACATCAGTTACTATCGATGAGTTCCGGATGTTTGAAAATAATATCAAAAACATAAATTAATTAATATGGACAAAATGATTAAGATCACTTTTTACTAAATCAGCTTGTTCCGATAACATAACTTATTTTTGAGTGGGACACTGAAGAGGATAATGTTTCTTTATCATTGATATTCCTCTAAGTATTTTTCTTTAACATCGAAATCTAATTATTGTGATTTTTCAGTAATATCATGACCACCTCAGTATCATCTTTATCAATATGATCAAGAAAGCAAATTCATACCAAGATCCTATTACATCCGAAAATGAAAATAATATTTAAAGAGGAATATGTCAGGAATGATAGAAATGTTTGGCAGATGAATTAGCACGAAGATTACGTGATGTTACTGAACGAAATGTAGGTATCAACTTGTCTTTATATTGTTTATTGTTTTTGTTATTGTTATTATTTATGAATAAATGGATCGCATGTTCGTATTTAATTCATTCAATTTATTATTTATTATTAAAATCAATTAGAAAGTCAAAATAAACAAATACTATAAAACCATAAGTTCACCATTATAAAATAAACCATCACAAAATAAATCAACTCGAGAAAATAATATGAATAAAAAATTTGTTAATAGAAAATGAAGGTGGAAAACTTGTGATGTTGATTAATCAAAAGTTGGAAGATGTTTGAATGATATGAAAGGAAGGGATAGATTGGGTCAAAAAAATAATAAAAAGTATTTTATTATTATTAATTATATATATTCAATATTTTATTTATTTTAAATTATATTTATTTAAAAATTAATTAATATTTAAATAATAGAGGATATAATAACTGATCGACTGAATAAATATCCTATACAAGTTAAAGATTAAATTGAGAAAGCAGGTTTTCTTTATTTATTATTTACTTTATATAAATAGTATCGACTCAATTAATAATTTATTTAATTTGCATTGTTATTTCTTTTAGGCACATATTTTTATCCTTATGTAAATGGGCGATTAAATTTAATATCATTACTGAAATTATGAAGATTTGCTTTGATAATAACATCAATAATAGTGATAATTATAATGAGAGTAATAATAATAATCAGCAACAACAGGAAGATGTGGTATTGAAATAAAACAAACTGAAGATGAATATGATTAAAGAAGCCAAAGAAATGATGAAAGACATCTGAACTGAAATTCAATTTCAAAAATTTAGAAGAATATTTTAAATAATAATCAAAGGGGACGAATTCAAAGTTTATCATCGCTCAAAAATTCATTGAAATCTCGGTTGAATGAAATACTTGACTATTGAAAATAGATTAAGGTAATATTTTAAGATTTTATTTTTATTTTATTTTATTTATTTTATTTTATTTATTTATTTATTTATTTTATTTTATTTATTATTTATTATTATGTTATTTAAATAGATAAATTCAGGAAACGCAAATTATGCTTAAAAAATATTAATTCGATAACTAATTCTTTATCAAATGATGATAATAACAGTATAGATGAATATTAATGAATTTAATTGGGACATGGTAAATATTTTATTATTATTTCAATGATTTCAATTACACATCACTACCTAAATCTGTTCATCACATTCATCATCAAAATGATTGCTTCTACTGATAGTGCTATTAATAATTTTATAACATTAGATTTATTTATTTATTTATATTCATCATGGAGATAAGGATAATAATAATGACAGTAATAAAAATAATAATAATTCAAAGAACAATAAAACCAATTTCGCAACAATGATCAGCCACCATCTCCAACATCAAAAATACCGAAAACACCCCCCCCCCCGTTAGATATATTTATGATGAAGTTTCATCATAACTATCACAAATTACAACAACGACAACAATCACCACTAAAATTGTCAACACATCTCTGATAATACTAACACCAAAACTTTTCAATCATACAAATACCAACACAAATATCAACGCCAATAATACCAAAACAAAAACAACTCCGATAATAAATAATAATAATCACCATCATCATCAATATTATCGTTATTCTCATCAAATTCATAATATTCAAGATTTCTTAATGCTTTAGAAGGACAACCAAGAAACGAAATTAATAAAACTTCTGCAAGAATCAACAACGACTCCCTCCACCATCATCATCACTAGTCATAACAAGTAAAATTAATAGTAGTAATAACAATTATAATAATTTTTCAATACGCCACCTTCATCACGTAACCCACGTAATAATTCAACTTTAAAAAATAAAGAAATTGACGATGATGTGACGAAAATAAAGAAAATGAAGAAAATAAATATATATCATCACAAATGTCGGTGGATCGAATTTCATTATTAGAAGAAACTCCTCCTGATTGACGTAATTAATGATAAATTATGATTTGATGATTAGGATGATTTAAAAAATAAATAATAATAGTAATTATAATAATGACAAAAAATTATAATAATTATATAAATAATTGTGACAAGTTTTTCATGATAACGGTTTAATTAAATATGTTGGGTTAATTAAATAAAATATAATATTAATTAATTAAATAAATAAAAATATTAAAAATGGTAATTAATTAATTGATTCTAATTTTATTGAATAATATCGTTTCACAAAAAAAAAATTGTATTTATTCTATTATTATTATTATTATCATCATCGCTATCATTTATCATTATTTTTTTTCTAATTAATTGAAATTGTTTGATATCGCTTCACTAATCTCTACTTCAATATTTATTACCACCACTAATATCTAGATATCTAGTTAAAAATAAATAAATAAATAAATAAATGATTTACAAAAATGAATAATCGTGTCGTTTAAAGATTAATAAATGAATTATAAATAAATTATAAATAAGTCATAAATGAAAATGAATAAAAAAGTGAAATGAAAAATGTTTGTATTTTAAATAAATATATATATATTTTTTTTTTTGATCTTGTCAAATTATTTATTTAAATAATTTTCCTACCCAAGAATTCTTTACTTTTTTATTCAATTTCTTTGACCTGGAATTAGCAGTAGACGCAGTTCCGGGGGAAGGGGAGGAGGAAGACGACGTAGTTAAATTTGAAAAAGATGTGGATAACGCTGATATCGCGGTAGAAGGGAGTATATCATGTTTCTTATTATTGTTATTAGAACGTTTGTCTTTTTGAACCTGATCACATAAATGATCAAAACCTAATCGATGTTTAATACAATAATTTTTACCACACCCTGAACATAATATTTGAACCGCTACTCGATTTTTACATTTTCCAAATGAACATGAATTAAATGATTTGGTGGATGTAGTTTTTGGAGCGGGAGTACAATCATTTGAAATATGTTGATCCATCTTAAAAAATCAAATCAAATAAAATATATTATTATTATTATTATTATTATTATTATTATTATTATTATTATTATTATTATTATTATTATTATTATTATTATTAAATATTAATATTTTAATGTTAATTATATTTACTTACTCTAATATTAGGATCTTCCCCTCGACTAAAAGGTACCGGCACACCACAAAGAGGACAGGTAGGAACCCTTACTCCATCTTCGGAAGGTGGTAAATTGTTACAAGAATGTTGTTTGGGTTTGGAATGTTCGGAGCAATAATAGTTTTGACAATGTTGACATTTGAGAGGTAAGTAATCTAATTGTTTACAATCTGTGTAGGCACAATGACGACCTATGTTTGGAAGTTCCATATTATTATTTGATAGTATATGTTATTTAGTATATATTATTTTTTAAAATATATTATTTGGATTTATTTTGTGGTGATTATTTTACTTTGTAAGAAGTTGTTATTTATGTTATTCGTAGTTGTAAATATTAAAGAATAAATTAAGACCATATGATATTTATAGTTTTTTTTTTCAAAATTAAGCAATATATTATGTATTACTGTATATAGGGGTAGGCTAAAGCGGAGTAGAATCATGTGAGGTGATTCGGGTTAAAGCGGAAGTGTGACCGTATCACATGTATT